GAGTTATTAAATGAAGCCCGGCGAACTTCAAGAGTGTGTGCGTGTGCGAAAATAAAATTTCTCATGTAAATATTTAATTATTTATACCCTACACAAAGCATAGCATGGGGTATATTAGACGCTTTTTAAACTACTCGCTTATTTGCGTACATGCGCAATCCAACTCTTTTTACCGCATCGTAAAAGTTCTTAAATAGTATTTGCTTTTAATTTCTGGCATAAAGCAAAATGCACTTCAATTCAGCAGATAAAACTTTGTCTTCTCCATGCTACTCTGCACTATAAACAACAATAAACTTTATGGTGCCAAGGAAATGTTTTATTTTTTAGATAGCCAGCAAATGAAACGATCGAACGATTGCGACTTGTCACTGAATTTTCTGCCCCATCTGCTGACCACAAGCCAAAGTGTGGGAGCAGAATGGGGCACCGCATTTGCCGAGTGGCAAGTGCCAATATGTGTGGTAGTTGAGAAAAATAAAATGTTTATCGTGTCGTTGTGGTTGCAACATATAGCACTTGTGCTTGCCCCACATGAAATTCGGCAGCAACTCGCAACTGGAGTTGTTTGCCAGCGTGTCAATAATTTTGACCAACTTTGTGTTTATTTGGCCAGCAGCAAACACAAAATGGACAAAACTTTTGAGTTTCGCATTAAACCGAATCAATTGACAATTGCTAACAGGCGACAATAGTCGAAGATGAAAAAAAAAAAAAAAACTTCAATTTAAAGGACCTTAAAGCAGTGCAAATCCAGTCGAAACCCAGTCGACTGGCACAATGGCAACTACAAATGGCTAGGCCATTTGCACTGACTGCAATTGATTGGCCATGGCCAAATTGGGGTGGCTACGTAAGCGCGCTCATTTATTTATTTATAAACAAAGCACAAATGATAGCACAGAGCAGGGAATGGGACCGGCGAGCAGGCAGTCGGCAGTCAGACAGGCGACACACAGAGACGCCGCCGCATTAAGTCTTACAAATTTGCAGGCAAATGTGAGAAACTAGTATACTACTAGGATACGAATACCACCTCGTATATGTCCGTACATGGCAGTGACTAATTAATTTTACACCGTTTATCGTGCGTTTCACGCGCGTTCAGCTTAAGCCATACAAATCAATCAAGGACAGGCTTCCTGGTAGGGGTATGTGGGGTGCCAAGGGCACGCTTACTTGGCCAATTAGCAAAGCATACAATACACATGCACTTTGCATGGCGCCAGCAGGACAGCCAGGGCAAACACAGGGCAGCACAGGGCACACAGCCTGTGTATATACATCTGTATATATGTATGTTCATATATATGCATATATATTTAAGCACTTAAGATAGATGAATGAAGTGGCAAACATGGCGGACAGTTTGGATTTCAGTTCCAGTTGCCGCAGTTGTTGTCCAGTTCGAGGCGTCGACTGGCCGCTGACATTTACAAATCAGCGCCAATTATTTATGGAGTCGAGCTCTCTCACTCTTACTAGCACTCGTTCTCCCTTTTTCCAAGTTGAGTCGATCGCAGTGAAAGCGTATTTAATTAATTTTTTGTTTTGCATATTGAAAATGTTGAGTACTGGCTATGATGGCACGCACGGGTGTCATCAACATCAAGTTCGGCCACTTAATAAGCAGTCAGAGACCGTTCAAAACTTGATTCTAGGGAAATATCATATAAAAGTTCAGCAGTTAAAAATGAAATGTTGCAAAAAAATTCAAATAAAAATTGGTATGATAAACTCTAAAGTTGAGTGCCTGAAAATGCCTGCCACACAAACTGTGGTTATGACTGCGCGAGAGGCTGTAAAAGTGGCTCGAAAGTTCCCTCAGGTTGTGGAGTCTAGTGGAGCAAACTCTTGCTCAAGTTGTGTATACAGCAGAGAGTCGAGAGTCGAATACGAGTAGGCAAGTTATGGCCTCTGCCTGCCCTGACAGTCTGTTTAATGGCAGCCCAGCCCAGAGCCCAGCATATAGCTCAGACAGTCACTCAGCATAAATAGTAGAAGGCAAATGGCAGAGCTGACGCTCTTTCTGCTAGATGAGGGCCACCCATCCACCAGCCACCGCAAAGCGTTTAAAATGTGTCTGTGGCTGTTAAAGAAGAAAAAATAAAGAAAGAAGGAAAATTACGAAGAGCAGCAAGAAAAAATGCAATAGCAATAGCAAGTGATACCGTAAATAGTGTGAGCAGGAGCTGCAAGCGAGAGCAAGTGCAAATAAAATAGAAAACCAAGGCAATTTTTCAGCTTCATTAAGTAACCGCAAAGTTTGTTTTATGTGCGGTCAGCTACAAGCCAAGCCAGCATACCAGCCAGCAAAAGCGACTGCAAGAGATAGAATAAAGCCGATAAACATATGAGCACAAAGTGTTCGAAGAAAAAAAAAACGTAATTTACAAGCCATACACTAAAAGTTCTTCAAATGTTAAGCATTTGCCAGTAAATTAGCAGCACGCAAACTTGTTGCGAGTTTTGAAAAATAATATTTATTTCAACAAAATTCAAACATTTGCTCACTCACTAGTCTGTAGGGCATGAAATTCGCATAGAAGGGCCCTTTAATGTACTGTGTTTTGCACCCGTTCGCTCTTTATCTAGCTGTGTATTTTTTACTATTTACTCGACCTTTTTCTGTTTTCTTGTCATAAAGTTAATCAGAATGAAAGTAAGTGGGATTGAGATCGCATGAGACAAAGCATCAAGGAATGAAAAAAGAAGAGAGCTGGTTAAAGGTGATCTCTTTGTCTCGCAAGATACATACTGCTATACATATGTGTTCGCTATTAATAGGAGACATTTGAGTAGATTATACTTGTAATAAATAGAGAACAACTGCTGCCCAGGCACTTAGCGCAGTCAAGTATTTAGTATACGGCAAGTTATTCTCGGAATAAATTATGAGCCGAAACATTGCTAAAGGCATTGCCAAGCAGACTTTACTAATAAACCTATAAAGCAATGCGCACACACAGACACACTCAGAGTCAAATGCAGTGCGAGAAGCTGTGCCAAAATTGTTTGCCATGGACATTGACAAATATCCAAAGCGGCAGCATCATTTGCCCAGTTGGGCTCAAGCAGCAGATTGGCTGCATTTTGTGTTAAATCAGCAACAATTGTTGCCCAAGCCCCCAAAATTGTGAAGCTGCAGCTATCACTTTGGGGTTTCGCATTGCAATCGGAGCTGAAGTCTGAGTTTTGGGTTCGAGTTGCTTTACTTACTTTCGGCTTGGCTTTGGCTTTAGCTTTGGCTTTGGCCAGCAGCCAGCCAAAGAGGAAATTAAAATTTATATAGCATACAAAACGCGGTAGCAGCTGCTGCTGCTGCTGCTGCTGCAGCTGGCTCACTGAGGCATTTTGCTATTTAGCATGTTTCTTCTTAGCCAGCATCAAATCTTCGTTTTTGGTCTTGGTCTGCCTTGGCTGCTTTAGCTGCTGCTGCCAAAGCGGAAAGCGTGGCTGCCATTAAGCTGCCAATCGACCATTTGTCAGCTTCGATTGCGGCAATAGAAGCGCAAAGAAAATAAAAAACATACAAAGCGCACAGGGGAAGGGGCTCTGGCTGTTGCCAAGTTGTTGCCAATGGCTTTGAATTGGGTTAAGTGATTTGGCGTTCAATCAATGCCACCCTCCCCAAAAATGGGCGTGCATAATTATGGACTGCTGGGCTCTATTTGTTTATGCTTGGCATATTACACATACGCCATGTGGTCGCCGGAATTGCATTGCTAATAAACAGTTTGAGGCTGGTTTTCATTATGCCATTCATTATCTTTGCGATCAGCGAACGGATTTCCAGCGCTGGGAATTGTTCTGATAGCCGCATTTCAGCCTGTTTTTGTTGCTCTGCGTATGCGTGTGTGTGTGTGTGTGCATGTGTGTGTGTGTGTGCGTCTGCCATTTAAATCAATTATGCGTTTTTGGCCTAAAACATGCAATTAAGTGCACAGCCTCACACACCATGCTGCACAACGACCAATACATAAAACATCAGAGCCAACAATGCAGGAGCCTGCGAAATGTGGGGCTGGCAATTTAATCAACTGGATAAATGATTTCACCGATTTAAAGTGATTTAAGCTGATTTAAAAGCACATGCGCTTACATTTTTTGTTTTGTTTCAAATATGCACATGTCACCGATTGATTAGCCAAAGTTTTATGTAAAAGGTATATAATATATTTTCCAAGCTTTTTATCTTCCTTTTTTATAATACAAATATGTGTATAAAGTTAAATCAAAATTAATTTATGCTTGTGCAATTTTCGTATGATTAATTTGGTGTGCATTTCCGGCTGTGTGATTGAAAAAGAAAAAAACAAAATAGAATAGCTTTATGTCTGATTCATAATCTAATCCAACTCTCTCAAGGCTTTCCATTCAGCTACACGTGTTTGTAGCGTTATCAAACGTTCATTAAGCTCGGCTGTCATCTTGGCAATTTCCTCGGATCGTGTTGGTTTTTGTGGCATAATGTATAGGGGTCTCAAAGGGTTAAGCTTCTTTCTTGGTATCGGCCGTTCAATTTTGGTGCTGCGCGGCGTCAGAGACGGCAATTGTTTTGTTCTTTGCGGAATTTTGAGCATTTTTGTTTAGCACAAACAAATCGAAAGCTGAAAAATATTTACGATAATTTCTAGTTTAGTCTGGTTCACGTTGAATTAAACATATTAAAGAAGAGACTACTAGGATGTTTGAATATGAAGCATTTTATTTATTTCAATTATTTTTATTCAAACGATATGATAAGCTTATAATTACTATGACAATTAATTGCCTTTTAATTAACAATCAAAATATGTTAATTTCGAGCAACTGATGGGGAACTAATTTTCATGAGTCAAATTACTGGCTCTTACATGACCTTTTATTGCCCATTTTCTATGATTTCATTTGTTGTAATATCTCTCAGTCTGCCACACAATGCCGCAATACGCTTTGCATTCCCATTTCCTTTGGACCTGCCCACATAGCAAGGCCAACAACGTTGTAATTCGCTCATGTGCAATGCTTTAAATACCACAAACGGAATTTTTAATTGTCTGCTAAGCAAACCAACTCACACACAGATCGTATACGTGACCAGCTAGCTCTGTCGACATATTTATAATTTCTTTAATGTTTAGCCTAACGCACAGGCAAAAGAGCAGCCCTCTGAGCCCGGCCAGCCCAGTGACAACCCGTTACAAAAGCTTTCACTGCTTAGCGTACTTGAGTTACTTTATTATGTAAGCGCCGGATCCCAGGACAGCTCGCCGGGCCGCCTGACGACCCGCTCGGCTGCGTTCCGTCCCAGGCTCTCAGTCCACTTGGCATAAAAAGGTGAACTTCAGTGTCATTTGTTTGCAGCCGCCGTCGCCGCCGCTGCTGTCACTCGAGTTGTCGGCTTGCAACTGAACTTTGCTCTCGCTCTCTCTCTCTCTCTCTCTCAGCTCCAGTGGGGACAACTTAAGTTATCTTTATGCTTCAAAAGGCCTACACTGAGTCGGACGACTGACGACTGTCTGGCATACAGTCAGACAAGCTGTTGAACAAGGCCCCCAGCCAGGGCCCTGGCAGGCAGGCGGAAGGTTGCCAAGCCCCCTCAGTCTCTACCGACACTGCTGCTGCTGCTGCTGCTGCTGCTGCTCATTTTTCCTCTGGTTCGTCCCGTTGGGGTCTGAAGTCTCACGCCTTTTTCATATTTCAATTGAAATGCGCAGCAGCACAATTAAAAATCAAGCCAAGTGATGCGTGCCAGTGCCATGGCAAGTGTTTGCCGAGTGTTTGTTGTTTAAAATGAAGCGCTATAAATGGACAAGTTGTTGCTGCTCATGTTGCTGTTGCTATTGCCGTTGTTGTTGTTGTTGTTGGGCCTACCCAACGTTGCTGTGCCGAGTGTGCCCTGAGGCAGGGCATGGCCCAGTCAACAGTCAACACTCTATATTGTGTGCCCTGTTGTCGTATTGTGCTACGTCTTGTCGCTTTAGGCCAGACTTTTGTTGGTTTTTATATGTCCTAGTCGTTGCTGTTCTATAAGGATTTGCTTAGCTGGGCAATATTTTGGCTTTTGTTCTCAGTAGTGTGTTTTGTTTGCCTGGCCACGCCTATGGTTTTATGATATTCCATTTTTTTCTCTCCTCTTGTTGGGAAGTGCATAATTTATTATTCACAGAGCTCTTGATTTGCACAATGGGAAGAAATATTATAAAGAGCTGACAATTAGGATAATTTATTAGAGGATATGAAAAAAAATAATGTCTAACAGGCAGCTTACAAGTGTGTGATAATTTGGTTGAATTATATAACTTTTTGCTTAAGAGAGAATATATGAAATATTTCACAAATAGAAAATGACATTTGAAGGTCAAATTTTGTGTATGTGAAAAGGATCGTTCTTTAGAATTTGTAACACAATAATTTTTATTTATTTTTTCAACAAGTTGTTTCTTTCTCGCCACATTTTAATGACTGTATTTCAACAAGTTGACCTAATATCGCCATCAATTAATTGTTTTATCTTCCCTAGAAACATTTTTTAACAACGCAAACTTTCGTTTTGTACATGTGTTAGCCGCAAGCATTTAATTTAAATACCACTGTGCATTGTCATATTTTCATTGGCTTTTGGCATCAAACTGAATTAAATATGCGACTGCATATTCCTTGGAAATCTCTCGTTTATAGCCTGACAGTTACATAGCCTTGTCATTGGCAAACAACGTGGCGTATGCTCGACATGCCAGTAAATGAAAATGAATGAATGCGAATGCGGCATGTTTTTACTATTCTTCATGCTCTGCTCGAAACTATGCTCAGCGAACAGATAGAAAATAGATGAGGAAAAAAAAAAACAGAACACAATCGAATTTTTGCCAGATGAATTTAGTAGATGCCAACTCTTTTTGCCAAGTCCACTCTCCGCTGACCGCGCCCCGTCCGTCCCCCATTTGGGAAAATCAGTGAGGCGTGTTTTTGACATTTAACAAGCCATGCGGCCAGTTGGCTCGAGCATGAGCGATGCTTGTGCAAATGCTTTTAATTAAAAAATATTTGCAGCCAAACTTTGCATAATTTCGACTCAATAGTTTTTAGGCAGGCAACTGCATTTGGCAGAGAGACAGATGGATGGACAGCTTAGTAGCCAGGCACTTAGGCACAGAGCTCAGCGGCTGTGCCACAGATGAGGAATGGAGAGACGGAAGATATGGCAGATGGGAGATGGAAGATGAGACCGACGACATGTGACAACTCATCAGGCAAGGCACCATTGGGAATGTGGAACTGAATTTGCTTTGCCCCAACTGCGTGTCTCTGTGTGCTGTGAATTAGTGTCCAGCTGGACGAGTGTCCTTCCTGTGCAGGTGTCGCCGCTATTGTCATATTTTGCAATGTCCAAAGCCGCTCGTTCGCCCGCTCCTATGTGTGTGCGAGTGAGTGCGTGTGCGTCTATGTGCTAATGGTTTTGGAAAATCAAAAGCGAGATTAGTCAATGGTGCCGCAATTGAGTGGCAGGACAGCAGAGACCAGAGCAGAGCAGAGTATGACAACAGTTGCCCCAAAACCCTGAACAGACAGGCCGTCTGCAATTGTCTGTATTGTTTGTTTTGGTGTTGCTGTTGTTTCTCTTGTTGTTGAGAGACTGATTTTAAATTTTATGAAAATTCCTACAATACGGCGTATGCGTAATATAATTTGGCATCAGGCTAAAATCCGAGTTTAAGCCCAGGCAAAAATAAAACTAGAAAAGAAATAAAAACTAACAACTGCTGCACAATTGCAGCAGTCGCAACGCAGAGTGTGGGCGCGGCATGGCACAGAGGCACACACATATTTTTGATGCTGAAAAATATTTGCAAATAAATTGCCAAGCCCGAAAGAGTCATAGAAAAGGGGAGAGCATGAGAGGGAGTCGAGGGGGGACAGAGCAGATCTAGAACTCGGAAACGAAAAATGGCTAACAAACGTAGTTGGCCCGGCTGCCAGTGACGTAAATCTATTTCAGTTGAGGGATTTTTACATCAAACATGCCGGACAGTTTTGCATTGCAGCAGCAGTTGCAGCAGTAGCAGCAGCAGCAGCAGCAGCAGCAGCAGCAGCAGTTGCATGCTGTGGGTGTGCCCGTTCACAGTGCGTATGAGTAATCTTCTGTTTGAGCTCCCAGTCGGTAGAACCAAATTTTTTGCCCTTTTGTTTTTGATTAAAAATCGCAACTGAAAATTTATTTCATTTAATTTCTCACTGCCTGTATTTTTGGCTTTATATATATATTTGTTGCTGTTGTTTTTGTTTTTTTTTTTATAACTAACATGCCAACGTATTTGAATTTTAATTTGCTTTGGCAATAGATTGCCCGCAAATGAAAAAAACAAAACTCAAAACAAGGCTGCAGCAAATGCTGCCCAGTTTTGTTTTGAGCATATCGGGCGCGGCACGCTCGTATTTCAAATTCAATTGTGTGTGTTGTTTGTTTTTTGTTTTTTTTTTTTTTTTTACTTTTTATATATTGCTGTTGCATTTGAGTTACAGCGGTTAGTTGTGTAGCCAGCTATTTTGGTGGGTTTGTTTCTGTTTTCAAGTGAACGGCTTTTATTTAGTTATGCGGCGTTAGCCAACAAAAAAAATCCAATAACTGGCGCTAAACTAAAATGCGTCTGGGAATCGAATTTTCCCCAGCCAAAAGCACTTTCAGCGCTGAGGTGGTTAAGCTTGTGCTTGTTTGCTCACTCATAAAAAATAAATTAAAAAAATAATATAAAATAAGTCGAGTTTTGCTTTAGCATGCCGATTTAAAGATTATATTTTAACGATTGCACTTCACTCAGACAAGGGTCTGAGGAACTGACCAAAGGGTCTGATAAAAGTCATTATGACTTTTTTAGACAGACAATCGGAGGCATTGATTGACCGATTTCGGCTCTTGATTGACCGTAATTTTTTTATTTGCCTTATATTTAAAATAATTGTAATAAAATTTATAGTTATAATAATAATAATTAAGGTTTAATCAGTCAAGCATTTAGCATAAGTTGCCGAGCTGAAATAATGTTTCCCCAGATATTTAAATGAGTAGTTTTCTCTATATTGCAGTGCTCGCAAATGAAAACAGGTTTACGTAAAATGCGTTCATTGCATACGTATTTATTGAATTATTAATGCCAATAAACTTGTTGCCCCATTTGTGCGCCAAAGCTGTTGCCTTTAGTCGCAATAGGGTAACTTGCCACACAGCAGTTGGCCATCAAATTGAGCATTTGGTTAGCGCGTTTGCAGCGCCATTCATTTTCTGTGGCACAACTGAGTTGAGCAGGCCTCGTGTCGCGCTGTGTCGCGTCGCGTCGCCTCGCTGATTTGCATGCGAGCCAAAGGAGCGCCGGATTACACACATAGTGGGAGGCGTAACCTCAGAGTCGTCTGGCAGTCATCGTCGTCGTCGTCGATGTCGTTTTCGTTGTCGTGTTATGTGTGACATTTGTTTGTTTAGACGGCACTCCTGGCGACAAATATAAATGTTAGTTACGCTTTGAGAGTTTTGCCTGCCAAATTGCCTGTCAAGTCTCACTCTCTCTCTCTCTGTCTCTCTCTCTCTCTATTTGTGTGGCGTCTCGACCGGGGCGTTTTGGCGGCCTGCGGACTGGTTATAAATATCACAAGCCGCTTCGGGCCGCTTTAGACCGTTGCTGCATGCAATTTGTCTGCCACATGAATTTCAGATGGCCGCATTTTTGCCAGTCATTTTTGCACTTCATTTGGCGCTTCGCAGTGCCCGTCCGGCGATTCATTGACTGACGTCATGCCTCAAATTGTGGCACTGCCAAGTGGCAACCGGCAACTGGCAGCTGCTGGCTGGCAGCTTTAACTGCTTAACGCTTACGGCTCTAATCGAATTGCCAGCCAAGCGGACCCCCATGTGACTCAATGCCAAATAGTTGGCAATTTTTCTCTTGTCTTTTGTCTTTTGCCTCATTCACACGCACACACACACTCACTTAAACACAGTCAGTCCCACCCACACAGACACCGTTGAGGGGTGAAAATTGCGTGTCTAGCCATAAAATTGGCAGCAGTGTCCAAGCCCAAACCCAGTAACCGAGCCAGGCCCAAGGACAGACCTATGTCCATTTAAGGTTTTGGTCCCGTCGTTGCTCGGTTTGCTTGTTTTGTGGGCATCCTTTGGGCATTGGCACTGATTTCTTCGCATTTATTTTGTACATTGGTTTAGTTGTATTTTTATTGTATTTACCCCCATTTCTCTCACTCTCCCTTTCTCTCTCTCTCTCTCTCTCTCTCTCTCTCTCTCTCTCTCTCTCTCTCTCCTGCCCTTCTGTGGTTTAGTAAAACTAATTTATTTTAAGTAAGTTGGAGTTAAAAAAAAAACACCAAGAAATGTCGACCATGTGACCCAAATTCGTGCATTCACAGACGGCAGCTGCGGTGGTTGCACTCCTCTTCTCATTTTTTTTTTGTTGCCTCTGGCCACAATCGCATACAATTTGCTCATTTCAACCGCACTAACACACACACAAAGCGTTTGAGTTCGGTTAAGGGGCGGTATCGGTCTGAGTATGGAGCAGTGGGGTTAGGGCAGTCCGGCACTCACATAAATAGTAATTTGCCTAGTGCGTTCTGTGGCCCAGGTAGGCGTGCACCGTTTTAGCTAAATTGCCGCCGTCCGGGGCACAAAAAGCAAAGCCGCTTAAGTCGCACCCAGCTGAATGGGTCAGAGGGCGAGTGCTCGGGGTACGAGAGACGGGCACAACGCAAAATGTACGAAATCGAAAATGTAATGAAAACCGCAGTCGCCTACGACCGCCAGAACTGGTCAAGTCTATGTAGTTGAACTGAAAAACAGACGCTGTACGGTGGATTGAATGCAGAAATCGAGATTATAATTTACAATATATGTTGTTAATTATAGTCGTGACATTAGAACTATATGTAACTAGCTGGTACATCGAGTACTGTGAAAAGGTTTCTATAAGTCGAGCCAGCTGTTAATGATCTCAGCTATTTACTCATTACCAGCTGAACAGTTTTTGGCGAAAAGGGTAAAAAGATACACCGAGAGCAGAGTTGATAAAACACGGACTTGTGCAAAATTAGAAAAGATTCATACAGAAAATTAAAAAGACATTTACTATTGCCTGCAACTCTCCACACTTAAAGTACAACATTAGATCAACACATGTTTAGTAAATGGTTCCACTGTTCATTTAGCACTCGTCGATTTGAAAATGTTGAAAATCCAGAGGCAGAGTTTTGACAGGTTGGCCAGCCAGTAAAAACCATAGGCACGCGTGAGGCCGAGCGGCCACAATTGGTTCGTAGTGCCAAAAATTTGCGCAAATTAATGCCAGCCAGAAAATTGATAGTAAAATGTTTTATCTACCGC